TGGCACTTTGCTTTTATGGTCGAAAAAATAAGGCCACCTGCTCACCTGGCCAGCTCAGGGGAGGCCTGCGTGGCGGCCGTGCAAACTCAAAGACCTAAAGTGACCACACGGGATGGTCTGAAATTAAAAATTTAACTAAAAGCAGTTATGGTGGGTCGTTATGTCCTAGGCCAGCATCTTCCCTGACAAAGATCAACATGGATCTGTACTGAACTGTTGTCTTTCTGCATCTATGATAACACATCTGTGGGCTGTCGGGTAACTTGTAACTTCCCTTTTTCAGGGCCGCTCAGCGTGCAGCCAATGGCACCATGGGGACCCCAGATTGCCTCCTTGTGAGTGTCACCATGTTCATTGTTGACCGTTAACTGCCCTGCACCCACCCAAGAAGCACGTGCCCATCATTTCACTTTTACCCAATCCCAGAGCTTTCCCGCTTTGCTTTCTCCCACCCCCCCCAATCCATCACCAATGGAGTTCCTGTCACCCACTTACGGCTCCTCCTTTGATGGTAATTTATAAAAACAAGGTGAAAACCCGCCATTCTCCGAGCATTATCCCAATCCGTTGAGATTCTGCTTCTTGGTAATTGTTGACAGTTTGGCTCAAATAAACTCACAAAATTCTTTACAGGTTTGAATGTTTTTGTTGTTGCTGTTTTTTTTTACACTAACACTTTCTTCATGTGTTCTTTCTCCTTATAATTCCAACAATAATTTTATTCCGATGGAATAATTTTATTCCACGTGGAGTGTGGAGTGCACCTCTTCTCTAAGTGTGGCCCACAGGTCCCTGGTGGGGCGTGGGGCCTTCTCAGAGGGTGTGGCATTTTGATAACAATACTAAGATGCCCGTGCTTTCTTCCATGTGTTAATGGCATAGAAGCAAGGGTGAGCGAAACTGACAGCAGCCTCACACCTGCCGAGGTGCTAGGGACCAAGCACTAGAAAGTTTTCTGATAAATACATTCAAACCTCGTTTCCCCAAGGTCTCCATTTCCAACAATTCAGTTCTCAATTAAGTTGTTCACAGAAAAAAAAAGTCTCGGTTGTCGACCCAAACTTCAGTTTTCCACCAGACAGACAACCCTTTCATGCTGAAACCTCAGTGGGCAAAAGGCATCTCTCAGGCCACGAACAAAGGAGGGAGTGCTGTTGTTGCTGGGGAATCCAGGATTAGCACAATTTTAAGTCATAAAGGGGCCGCCAAGGGTGCTACTGCTGCTCAGGGTATGAGGGAACAGTGGTCACAGGCCAGAGAAGAGGCAGGGAGACTCTGGCTGCTTTGGGTGAAGGAAAAGCAAGGAGCGGGTGGCAGCATTCGGAGGCAGCGACATGGAAAGAAACGACGACGCTGCAGGAGGACCTGGTGCTGAGAGTGGTTAAGGCGAGTAGGGGCGGTTTGATAAGTTTAAGAAAAGAAGTGCTTATTTATAGATTAAACAGCACATGAAACATGTACTATATATAAGGGTAAAACGGCATCGTTTCGGAGTCTGGGAAAGATTAACTCAATTTACATTATTTCTAATCAGGAAAAAACAATTCCATTTTCGGATAAATTGTTTGTCGAACAGCCTTCCGGAACGAATTAAGTTCACAAACTGAGGTCCCCCTGTATAGCCATGCTAATAAATGTGACGCTGTTGCTATTATATTCTGAAATACGCGAACATTTGAGAAAATGGCCCATGCGTGGTGGTACAAGACCATGAGCGGATAAAGCCTCGATTCAATGTGGAAGCCAGAGGAACACATTTCAGTGTTCATTGTGATGATTTAATTCCACATTGCAGGTAACATTTAAGTGGGTATCATTTGTCAATTTTTATGGTAGTTTAAATATGAATAAGCATAACTGTTTGAAAGGCTATTAAAATATTCATTCCTCTTTCAACAGTACGTGAGGGCAGATACTTCTTAAAAATATTTTGACCCTCCCCAAAATGCCGTTTAACAGACTGAGTGCAAGAGAAGATATTAGTGTCTGTATACAGCAGACCGTACTAACAGTACCAAAAGGCGGCTGGAGAGGTATGCTCAGGCGGGCAAAGCTGGTGTCAGGGCACGGGTGCTATCAAGAGTGAAGACAGGCGCTTTGTCGTATTGAAGACGTGAGTTTCTTAAAAAGACGTAATTTCAAACATGCATGTACCTAATAACACAGCTTCAAAAGCCACGGAGCAGAAACAGGCGGACTACGGTGAGAGCCCGTGCAGCCCTCTCAGTGACAGAGTGAGCGGCAAGGTGCCCATGAGGGCGTTGGCGGCCTGAACACGTCCATCACCCACTCGCTCTAACAGGCGTCTGTACAATTCTCCACCCAAATGTGGCTCAATGTGAGTTCTTTTCCAGGTACGCGACGTGTTTGCCAAGATAAAGCATTTCTAGGCCAGACAATAATGACCAATAAATTCAAAAGAAGTGAAGTAATATAAAGCGTTCTCTCTGAGCACCAAGATCCTTGGAAAATCCCTAGATATTTGGAAACTTTTAAATAACCCACGAATCAGAGGCGTGGTCCCCGGAAAACGAGAAAGTGCTGTGCGCGGCAAAAACAGGGAACTGTGATTCTATGGGATGCGGTAAAGCAGTTCTTAGAGTGCAGCTCCTATCACTGAACAGCCCCGTTAGAGAAGTCAGAAGGCCTTGAATCACAGCTTGGATCGTAGGGATGGAGAACAAGAAGAGCACACAGATCACACAGGAATCAGAAGCAAGTGCGTAATGAGGGACTAGAGCAGAAACTGATGGGATACAAGGCGAGCGAGGCCAACAGGAAAAAATCAGGGACACTGAGTGTGTGCGTGTGTGTGTGTGTGCGTGTGTGTGTGCGTGTGTGTGTATGTGTGCGTGTGTGCATGTATGTGCGTGTGTATGTGTGCGCGCGCATGTGCGTGTGTGTATGCATGTGTGTATGTGTGCGTGTGCGTGTATGTGTGTGCGTGTGTGTGCGCATGTGTGTGTGTGTGTGTGTGTGTGTGTGTGTGTGTGTGTGTGTTGAGAAGATCAACACATTCACATTCACTAGGACGATGGATCCGGTAAAAGAGGAAACAGAAACCACCAACATCAGGAATGAGAACTGTGACATCATTAATAATGTAAAGGACGAGAAGGGAATGATATGAATAATTTTATGCCATTAAATTTGACAACTTAGATGAAGTGAAAAAACTCCTTGAAATATGAACTCTCAAGCTCACTCTAGTAGAGATACATGACCCAAGTAGGCCTGTCTGAAGGAATGAAGTTGAATTTGTAATTTAAAAACTTTCTCTTAAGAACATATCAATTCCAGATGGCTGCCCTGATGAATTTCCCAGAATTAAAATATCTATCTATCTATCTATATCTATATATTTATTTATTACCAGTTCTATACAAACTCTCCCAGCTATTCAAGAAGAGAGAATCTTTCTCAATTAATTTTTTGAGACCAGTACTACTCTGATACCAAACTAGATTAAGTCATTACAAGGAAAGTGTACAGGCCAGTAACTTTTCTGAACATATATGCAAACAATCTAAAAAATACCAAAAAGAACCAACAGTTTATAAAAACACACACATCAAAACCAAATGAATTTCACCCCGAAGTGCAGAGTCAGGAAAATCTATGTAATTCATATCAACAAACCAAATAAACCAAAAGATCATGTCACTTGATGTAGAAAAGCTTTTGACAAAATGTTACACCCGCTTCAGATTAAAAACTTCCCATAACCTAAACGCGAAGGGTACTTCCTCAGCCTGGTACAAGGAACCAATAAAAGTCATGACGCTAAAGCCGCTCCGGAAGATGAAACCCAGAATGCGCTCGCTCCCCTAGGACAGGGAGCCCGCAAGAACGCCTGCTCCCTCTGTTGGCCTGTGCACAGGCTCCACCAGTGTCCTCGGGCGACAAAGGAAGCAAAAGGCATTCCGGTCGGACAGACAAGATTAAAACGCCTTTAACTGCACTTGAAAGTATCCCCTGGGCAGCGAGTCCGATGAAATACGCGTCCCCCTCCCTCCGCTATTTTCTCTCAGTTGTTAGCTCCCTTCAGAGGCTAACTTGCTGCGTGTCTTTTCTGTTTCTCTCTCAAAAACCAGTGAGATAATGGGAAAGAAAAATGAGTTTCTGGCTCCCCTGCAGTGTTTGATTGCGAAGCTTTTCCCTAATATGTGTTCCCATCTTGAGTCATTTTGAAAAGGTTTAAGTTTCTTTTAAAAAATATGTTTTTATTGATTTCAGAGAGGGAGGGAGGGAGGGAGGGAGAGAGAGAGAGAGAGAGAGAGAGAGAGAGAGAGAGAGAGAGAGAGAGAGAGAAATATCAATGAGAGAAAATCATTGATCAGCTGCCTCCTGCACGCCCCCTACTGGGGATCCATCCAGAACCCAGGCATGTGCCCTGACCGGGAATGGAACCGTGACTTCCTGGTTCACTGAGCCACACCGGCCAGGGAGGTTGAAGTTTCTTGAAATAAATGAAAAGATACAAATATCCAAGCCAATAGCATTGCTCCCAGGACCACAATCATAATGCGCTGACCGAAAAGCAGTCTCCAGGTCATCGTGACCCTCGTACAATGAATGATAACATTTTCTAAATGAGACGCACAGCAGGCCACTTCCATGCATTAACATGAAAGCTTATTTAATGAAATAATTGGGAAGCGACAGTTAAATTTTCTCTCCATCTATTTCTTTTTTTACACATTAACCCAAATGCATTAGACTATGAGAAGAAATTAAAACGGGGGGGAAACCTAGAGATGCATTTTGATTATATACATTGTGAGTTAATTTTTCATATTGGGTCATACAGTGAAAGGTGGCAACTCCAGCGCACCTGGAATTTCAGCACAGACGTAGAGTTCTACTAGTAACATAGCTGCCTAATAATGGAGAAGTTGTATCTTTAAATCGAAAGGAAAAGAAAAAGATTAGCGACAGCAAGCTCACATTTCATGCGTTAGAAAATAATGTTCTTTTCAAGTCATGCCTTTATCTCCCACCTGAAATCAGCTCCTGCTCGTCGCCCGAATTCTGGAACCCCCGGGTCTGGGCACATGTCGGAGACGAGGGCTTCGCCCCCCTGACTCACTGGAATAGAAGAGAGAGAAACATTATTATGATTGTGTGCAGCTACTGGGGAAATACCCCGAGAATACACTTATATTAGGCAGATTTGGTTCTTAAGTTATGACTTAAAATGCTATTTCTTCAAGGATCAAGACAGTTGAGCTGCAATAAAATGAACGATTATTCTTATCCTTATCCCATGAGAGGGTCCCGTTTTATTGGTTTGAGCTGCTCTGGACTGAAGGGCTCTATTGTTTGCTCACTGCGGTTGACTCTGTGGCTGGCTACAGTGACAAGAAAAGAGAGCTGCCCGGGAAGATGTCTAAGTTTATCAGAAGGAAGACTTCGCTCGCTCCCCAGGGAGGAAATAATGATGCTCATTATCGATGAAGCCCTAGACGAGAGCTATTTTAAAAAAATGGACCGTTACATTTTAGCCATCAAACACGTTCATCACTGAACTTCAGCGAGCTTCGGTTTTCTTGCACAGATGGGCTCATTCACCTCCTGACTGGCCCGTGGAGCGTCTGTCCCCCGGGGCGGGGGGGGAATGCTGTCCAGTCACAGGACAGTGTCTTAAGGACTCTATTGCTTATTAGACAGAGTGGCTGCCACTCCAACACTCACGCCCCCCCCCCCTATTTAACGTGTCCACTCCAAGCTAGGACGGAGGAAAAGCCAGAGGGTCTCTATTCAGAGGGTCTCTATTAGCTCAGAGGCCCCTTCCAGAGGCCCTCCTACAGCCTCCGCTCAAGTCTCAGAGAACGGAAGTGAGTCACAAGCCAACAGATGAGCAAGTTGCTGGCAAGAAAGACAGAACTGCCTTTTCTCCATTTCATTTAAAAGCAATTCTACAAGCTGAGGTCAGAGTAGGAACCTCCATGCCCTCGTTCCATGGTGGAAACATCAAATAAACAACCACAGGCAAAGGCATGTTGTAGGTGCTCTGCACACCATGCAGAGACTCAGAGCAACCCAGCACATGCCCGTGAGGAAACCCACAGTCACCTGGTCCATGGGAGAGAATGCCGTGGACTTCTCACGTGGCCTGTCTCACACCTTCCTTGACTTGTGGCAGGGCAGGTAGGAGGAAGTAGCCTAGTCCTGGTTTTCTTACTGGAGACAGAGGAGCTGAGAGGACCTGGTCTGTCATGTGCTGGCCCCCCTGTGGGCTGCTTGAGGGACTGGTGTCTGTCTTGCCTAACTTGGAGCTCAGATGGGCAATAGGAGTGGACGCCACGGAATGAATGGAGGAGCCGCCTGCATGTCAAAGGTGCACAGGAAAGGCAGCCATGTGGACACCTGGGCAGGAAATTGCAGGCAGCAGAATTCAACAGGATGCCTAAGGCCCCGAGAAGAAGCTGGGGCGGGGCTGTTGGGTATTAAGATCTTTTAAAGTGACTGAGTTAGCAGGTAAGGGGAGCACACACACAGACCAACCGGACTCATGCCCAGGAAAGACCCGAGAAGATCGAAAGTCTTTGTTTCTGGCTGGTTCCCAGGCCCAGGGACCCACGAGTTCATACAAGTCCTCCATACCACCCTGAAAGGCCTGGGAGAGGCAGCTTTGTCTCTCAAAGGCCCAGTTTATGAAATAGAGCACGAAGCCTACAAGGAAATAAGAAAGCAGGGTCCAGGCAAAGGAAAAGCAATCTCCAGAAATACCCCCGAAGAAACACACGCATCCGACTGCCTGTGCAAAGGTGTTCAATGTGCACTGGAGTGCAGAACAGCCGAACTGTTTTAAAACTTGAGGAAAAGTATAGACATACGAATCCAAGGAGCTCAACAAACTCCAAGTAGGAAAACTCAAAGACCCACAGCAAGACACACATCAAAGACAAGGACAGGGAACCCTGAAGCAGAACGAGGAAAGGGACTCCTCACACGTAGGGATGCCCATGACACTGTCAGCAGGTTCCTCAGCCGGAACCGTGCAGATGAGAAGGCAGTGAGGCGAGATCTGGAACTGCTCAGAGGAAAACACCGTCAACTGAGAGTTCTGCGTCTAGCAAAATGGTCCTTCCGAAATGAGAGGAAAGTTAGAGCATTACTAGACACACAGAAGCTGAGTGACGTCATTACTATGTCACCGACCCTCTAAGAAACGCTAAAGGACACTGGATACCAACTCAAAGCCACACGGGAATACAGCGTTCTCCGGTAAAAGTAAATGCGGGGAAATACTTTTAAAGACCCACTATTCTGTCAACGTGAATTGCAACCCCACATTTGTATTTCCTGCAAAACGTAAAGACAAATGCACAAAAATAATCATAAATCTATGTTAGTAAGCATATGCTAGAGATGCAATTTGTGGCGACAATAGTATAAAATAGTTGGGAAAGCTGTAAAAAAGCAGTTTTCTGTAAGTGTAGTCTCCATGGCAACCACAAAGAAAACCTACAGAATACACACAGAAGGAAATGGGAAAGAGAAGATTGTAATAAACTGAACACAAAGGGGGATAGTAATGGTGGAAACGAGGAACAGAAAGCTACAAGACACACAGAAAACAAATAAAATGGTCAATGTGAGTGCCTTCTGAGCTGTAATTGCTTTGAATGTAAATGGAAGCTACTCTGTGTCCCTTCAGAACTCCTATGTTTAGTGCTGGTGGGTGGTGCGGGTTTTAGAGCGTCCTCCCAAAACGCCAAGGTTGCAGGTTCAATCTCTGGTCAGAGGACATACAAGAAGCAACCAATGAATGCAAAAATAAGTGGGGAAACAAAATCAATATCTCTCTCTCTCTCTCTCTCTCTCTCTCTCAACCACACAATAAAATATTACAAACATGTTGGGGCCTTGAACGGGGTCATTAGAAGGGGCCCTGCTCCAACACGCCTGGTGTCCTGCTAAGGAGAGGAGGTGAGGACGCAGACACGCGCAGGCGGGAGGCCAGGCGAGGCCGCGGGGGAGACGGCACCTGTCAGCCAAGGAGAGGGCCTCGGGTTAGGAGAGCCAGCCCCGCCCCACCTTGCTCCTGGGCGTCCAGCCTCCAGAGCCGAGAAGAAATGAATGTCTCCTGCTTCATCGCCCAGGCTGTGGCCGTGCAGATGGCAGCATCCGCAGACTGACCCCCCTCCCCCGCCCGCCAGTCTAAAGACATGGACTGGCAGAGTGGGCTGAGAAGAAGAACATAATGACATGCACAACTATCTGCTGGCCACAGACACTCACTTCAGACCTACAGACACACAGAGGTGGAAAGGGGAGAGGAGCTGACGTCACGGAGCCCGAAGGTAGGACGGTGGTGCGGGAGCCGGGGGAGGAAGGCCGGAATGACTGTTCACACGTCAGAGAGGCTCCGTCCGGGACGATGAACACATTCTGGGGATGATGGTGGAGCCGGGTCACCAGGACGTGAATGCACTTGATGCTGCAGAACTGTGTGTGCCACGTGGGGGGAAAGTAACTTTCCTGTTCGTGCATCTCACCGTGTGTGTGTGTGCGTGTGTGTGTGTGTGTGTGTGTGCGTGTGTGAGTGTGTGTGTGAGTGTGTGTGAGTGTGTGTGTGAGTGTGTGTGAGTGTGTGTGTGAGTGTGTGTGTGTGAGTGTGTGTGAGTGTGTGTGAGTGTGTGTGAGCGTGTGTGAGTGTGTGTGTGAGTGTGTGTGAGTGTGTGTGAGTGTGTGTGAGTGTGTGTGTGTGTGAGTGTGTGTGAGTGTGTGTGAGTGTGTGTGAGTGTGTGTGAGTGTGTGTGTGTGTGAGTGTGTGTGAGTGTGTGTGAGTTTGTGTGTGTGAGTGTGTGTGAGTGTGTGTGAGTGTGTGTGTGTGTGAGTGTGTGTGAGTGTGTGTGTGAGTGTGTGTGTGTGTGTGTGTGAGTGTGTGTGTGTGTGAGTGTGTGTGTGTGTGAGTGTGTGTGTGTGTGTGTGTGTGTGTGTGTGTGTGTGAGAGAGAGAGGGGGGGGGGGAGAGAGAGATCCAACAAGGCATGGGCATGTAAGCTACCAGCAACTCCACTTGATCCATCTGACCGTTCCACTGGGTTTCCTCCGCCCCTGGGTTTAGTCCGCCGCGTCTCCCAGTCCGTAGGCAGGGCCTACGAACGCCTCTCGAAGTCACCCAAGGAGATTCGAGTTGTGACTGTTTACGCCCCAGTCAGAACGCTCATCCGCCCGCTTTCCCACCATCATTCGCTCCGTGTCGCCTACATTCCCCAGCGAAACGGTTCCCTGTGGGAAGTGAAGACGGCTTCACCGAGGGGCACAGGCCTGGCTGTTCACCCACAGCTGGGCTCCTGGTGCCATTTCCCGAGCCCCACACGGGTCCACGGCACAGAAGGGCTCCCAGGCCTACGGCCCCCTCGCCCCTTCCGTCTTTGAAGCGGGAACAGCAGTGAAGAGAAGTGGGGGGCACGGGAGGTCCCCTCCAAGTCAGATGAGAGCACTCCCCATCTTCACAGCTAATGTCCAGGTGCTCGTTCATGAGAGAAAGGGCGGGTGGAGGGTCTGAGAGCCCGAACGCAGGGGACAGGCCGGGTGGCTCCCGGAGGGCAGGAGAGAGCAGAAAAGGGACGGGGGTGCAATGGGAGGGAAGGACAAATACAACACAGACACACACAACAGTGGGGGGGGAGGCTCCCAGAGGGAGGGCGGGGAGGTAGCATGAGAATGAGGACGTCTTTTCTACCAAAGCCGTGGTTCAGGTGTTAACCCCACTGCCCGTTCATACCCTCACTGTGTCTCAGATCCACCCAGGCCCGTCCCGGTGAGGACACGGGCGTGGCTCCCCCGCCCCCACAGCCGTGACAGGTGCAGGAGTGAACAGCAGCGTTCCTGTAGGGGCAGGACATGGCTCTGTACCTCTCCTGGCAGGCATGGGGACAGCCCCCACCCTGGGCACCCCCTCCTCGGGCCAGGTGGTCCTCAGAGTGCGAAACCATGCCCTGTCCCTAGGGACACCGCACAGGGCAGCGGCTCCTGGGTGGCAGGGCGGAGGACGGCCGTCCTCTGTGCTGCCCGCCATGCTGCTGGCGCACTGCCCCCCCCCCCACCACCCCGTGCAGAAGCGAATGCCCTGTC